GACTTCCTGAAACCAAACCCCGAACCCCAAACCTTCCTTCCAAAGACATGTGAATTTAGGTTGGCTGGATGGGTGAAACTTTGCAGTTAAGATCCGAAGAAGAGGAGAAGAGCTCCCACCTGGACCAGGCTGATGTGGTTTGGGTTCTGGGGCTCGGGGTGTAGGCCTAGTTGGGGTCGTAGTGGGTGAGCCGGCATGGATTTCATGGGGAATGGATGCGACAGAAGCATGGACACTAACAGAAAATTTATTGCCCCACGTTTTTTGCTTCTGGGCATGCCCTGTAGGAAGCCGAAGCACCACTTTCTGTTTAAGCAGCCGAGCCAGGGTGGTACGGGTGGAGGTCATAAATTGCACAGGGGGCAAAAATTCGGTCTGGAGCGAATTCGATTCGTCCCTAAACCTTTTTGTTAAACCAGACCTTCAAGTCCTCCAGTCCCCAATCTTGAACTTCGGCTGGATGTGCGCTGTGGCAGTTTGTCCAGACTTCTTCTTTGGAGCGCAGTAGTCATAATAGTCGTACCACTGGCGCACTGATGCACTTGCCAGGTATAACATCTTCATCAGCTATATATGGAGCATTGGGAAGCTACACACTCGAAATTACCCCCCAGCGGTTCACCCTAAAACCATCTCCCGCCTTGGTGATGAGTTCCCACTCCTATCTCTTAAGTGGCACACCCCCCTATCAAAGTGATCTCAGCAAGGGAACCCTCAAAGACCCCCTGCTGTAACACCGATGAAACCTTCAACGCTATACCCTAAACACTCAATCCCATGCCTTGAGCCTTGTCCGCAGAAGCTGATTGGCCTCAGCGAGAACTTTGATGACATGCTGCCGGCACTGCAGCGCCTCTTCCTGGAGTTCGCTTAGTTTGCTGGGCTCAGGGGATCTCAGGAGTTCCAGTATTAAAAGGTGTATAAATACCTTCTTCGTTTTCATAAATGGCTTCTTCTATGGTGGTGTCTTCATGTTAAGGAATCTTGGGGGGAGCTTGAACAACGACAGTAGCTGGTCCGTGTACGACAGGCTTGCAGGGATTTGGGTTGCAAGGTTCAATGTTCATCATCAGTTTTCAAGGCTCATTAGAAGATTCGATGTACGGGCCCAGTTGGTTTCATAAGTTTTTCGGTCTTTTAAAACCACCGGTCCGTCAGGAAACCTGAACGGAACAGGCTGTCGTTCAAATTGTTTGCGGTGTTTAGCAAAACGGCTTAAAGACTGCCCGTTAGCTTTTTTCCTTGGATTCGTGGGACCGTTGGAAAGCTTTTCTATTTTCCTTTGCCAGGGCTGGGGTTCGTAGTTCGTTGGCAAGTTGTCAGGATCAGAGGTGCAAGGCATGTTATAAAATGGTTGAGCGCTGACGGACGAGAGCAGGCTGGCTTTGTGTTTGCAGGCCGTCGTTTACTTCCGAAAAGCACCCTTATATTGTGCCCTCAGTCCACCACCTTATCTGGCAAACTGCCCGACTTAAAGCAAAGGACATGTAACGTGTAGTCAGACTATGCGCAGCACTACGGGAAGTATCAGGGGGGCCCTCTGTCCAAACGTGTTCGAGACTTTCACATGGCTCACGCAAACCCCTCGTAATTAACGACCCTAAAAGTGCTCAACCCGGAAATGGAAAGTCCTCACTTGTGCCCTGGGCTCCTAAAACCTGAAACCGGGAATCCTCAACCTTAATCGCTATGATGCCAAAAAGCGGCCTATATTCTCAGGCAGATCCCGGAAGCCTTCCAAGAGGCGAGGAAGGACTGGAAGAGGGTTAGGATTCATGGGCTTTTGTTGAGGGTGAACGGCAGGGTTATACAGGTTCTTTGGGTTCAAATCTTCAGGTTGCAACTTTGACGTTTAGGGTCATTGCACCAAGTTCTTGATAGCAGGTGGTACTATTGCACTGAGAAGCTTTTTTGTGTTAATATGCGCCGTCAGTACAGCTCTTCCTAAAAAGGTCCTAAGCTCTCAATACTTAATCTTTTTTCCTTACCAATCCTTAGAAAGCCCTATAGACCCTCTGACTCTCCAACCTCAAAGCCCGCGCCATGCCATATCAAGCATCTTCCCTCCAAACCTGAACCTTGAGCCCTCCAGCCCGAAATCACATAAAGCCTCTGCGACTCCGAACATCAGACCATGTGTTCCCTTAAGGATCTCTCCTGAATCCAAGAGTTTGATTTCGGGTTGAGGTTTTCGGGCTTAGAATCCAGCCGCAGGAAGCCTACTCTGTCTACAGGCTCTGCGCGCAGAGCATCTTCCGGCAAGGCTCCTCCTCTCGAAGCTGCTTGGGGTATTTGGTGTTGAGGGATTGGAGGCATTAGTTTGGGTGCTGGGTTTCGCATGTTGAGCGGGGGTTGGGGTCTGTATGCACGAGTTATGGCTAACTTACGGGCCAATGCGGCATGTTATGCAGAATTCAGGCTATGTATGGTTTTGATACGCGCACCCAAACTTCTTGGAGGCGTCGCGGGGAACAACCCGCGGGTGATCCTTGGTGGCTCGCGCCCAATTTCGGAATTTGAAGCGTGGCAGCACTTGGTTTTGCGCTGGAGGGAGCTCCTGGATCTTATACATGTTTTGAGAGTAGTGCTTTAATGACGAGGCTCTAGTGGGCTCCTGCGTGGGGAAAGGGCTTACGGTTCGCCTCGTGGCTGTAAGTGAAAAGCATGGCAAGCGTGACTGTAGGTGGATTGGGTTACTTGAAAGCCATACCCTTGAATCTCCACATCTATTTTGGGGGCTCTGGGTTGCGGATCTAGCAGTAATTCTGAGGCTTCATGTAACAGCGGTCCTCACGCTTCTTCCGTCTTGAAGATTTTGGGGTCAAAAGCGGTTTTGGTATTCCAGGGATTGGTAAGCTAAGGGCGGGAGGGCTATCCGCAACCGTGGTCATCAGCTGAGTTCTCATGGGACCCACGACGAACTGACGAACCTTCCTGGACAGGAGAACATGCATCTTCGTGATTGGGTTCAAGAAAAGTGGTAGTGATGCTGGTGCTGGTGGTGCTGGTTCTGGTGCTGGTGCTGGTGCTGGTGCTGGTGGCCGTGGTCGTGGTCGTGGTCGGTCGTGGTCGTGGTCGTGGTGTCGTGGTCATGGTGTCGTGCTGGTGGTCGTGGTCCTCGTCCTCGTCATCGTTGTCATCGTCGTCGTTGGGGTTTTTGTTTTTACTTCTTCGTCTTTTTCTGCTGCTTCTTCTTTGTCTTCCAATCCTGGATGTAACACCTGCGAAACTCCTACGGCTCCCTGCTGTTCTGTAGGCAATGGGAACGGAGTCCCCTAGCAGGCCACTTGAAATTGCCACCAAGGCGGTCCTTGTGATCCTCCACCCTCAAAGCGACAAAGCGTTACAGATCCTAAAGCCCTGACCTAAGCCTGTGGAGGCCAAACCCAAAAAACACAGGAAGACGTAAGCTTTAAACAAGTTCATGCGCCTTCTGCTTCAAGGCCAGCTGCATCGGGACGAGGAGATTCTGAGAGTTTCCAAGAATTCGGTGGGCCATGGGTGTTGCATGCATTTGCGATTTCAATTTTCGGCAGGTTGACAGGATTCAGGGTGTTCCGTTGTAGGTGCATCTTGGTGTAAATTGTCTGCAATTTGGGAAACACCTGGGATTCAAAACGCACAGGCTAGCCTAGCTTGAGCAAAATTATATTCAAACGCGGAAGTTGGTATTCACAGGAGTGGTTACCAAACCGCGGATGCAGCAATCTGCATTTTTTTTTCTTGTTTTTTTCGGTTGTGTCCTAATCCCTACACACAAACAAGCTCCAAAACTCCAATACGGGCGAGGAGCAGGAACGCTTGGAGAAGTTGCAGCAAGAATATGAGCAACGTATCAGCCCCAGGTGGCCAGAAAGAGGTTGCACAAAGAGACCATGTCTTTGTGGCACCTTGATTGCTTGTGGGCTTTCTACGGAGCATTGGTTGTTCAGGGGAGTCCTTCAGAGGGAGCACCCGTCAAGGAAAAAGACTGGGAGTGGCAGCGGTTAGAGGTTTCTTATATAGGGATAATGGAAAAGCGAATGGAAACTACTATAACTCACCTGTACTTCCATCATCCCATTGGTCATCATTGCTCAACGAAAGACATCATATACCCCAGGTAATTAGGTGGAGGGTGTTTCGAGGATGAAAACCAGGAAGAAGAATTTGCTTGTAAGAAATGCGCGCAGCATTCTGCAGCATAGTAAATGTGGCTTCAGAAGCACCCTCTCAAGTACAGGTGCAAATGTTACCAAAGGTAAGAAGGCCTGGGGTGGGTGGTAATGGTGGAGGGGAGGTGAGTCCCCAAACCCCTCGTTTTATCCTATGTGCCAGCATGACATGTGAAACCAGCCTTGTGTGAAGAAACTGCGTCCTGGCAGCTATCTAGGCGTTTGAGTGTTGTTTTGTGTGTGTGTTGGTTGATTGGCGGCATCTTAGCCATTGAAGAAGATATCCAACAAAAAAATGCATAATCCTATTCTATTCTACAATCCTTGACTTTGCTATGTAGGGTCGTGCCAGAAGTCCCACAAGCCCTGTAACTGTACACAAAATCACNNCCCCCCCCCCCCCCCCCCCTCCGTGTTTCTTTCAATCAACGGCAACAGAAGGTTCATCTGCCTGAACAAAAGCACAGTACTACCTTCATACTGCCTGTGAGCATGGAATATCAGGTGCTGCTGCAGCGCCGGAGAACGCTTCCGCCAGTGAATTGGAGGCTGGCAAGGGGCAACAACATAATATAGGGTTAAGTGATGGCTGATAGGCTTCAGGCTTAGGCCTAGATCTAGAATTGGGCCAAAAGTTGCTGATGAGTTCAGGATCGCATCCATCCTTCGCCAGATGTCAATCCTGAGCCCTTTGCAGCAGGAGCAGGTGCCGAGACCACGGGATTGATCTAAAGATAGCTGCCCCCAAGAATAAACAACCAATCCTGAGAGGCCTCCATCCGGGACCTGTAAGATCAGAAAGATCAGGATGGTGCAAGATTTCCACCCTACAAACTTTGATTGCAGGCAATGTTCCCGACACTGGACGCAGACCTCGTGCGCTCTATTTATGCGGAAGCCCAGACGCCCCAGGCCCTTCGGTGGGCTCCAAAGTAAGCCACATGGGAACCATATGCAGCATACGGCGGTTGTGAGCTGAGGGAATACAATCAAGCCAGTTAGTGAGAGACTCTGTGATGATGACGGGTCAATTTAAATCTAGTGTATAGGGGTAATAGCGGGAAATTATTGGGATAATGGAAAAGAANNAAGAAAATGGAAACTGCTATAGTGTATTGGGGTTATATAGGGATAATGGAAAAGAAAATGGAAACTACTATTTAGACATGCCACTGCCATTTTCCATTCATGCCAGCTTTGGTAGCATCAACCCAAGCACGAAGCACCTCAAGAGGCGAAATTTCCTGTTTCTACTTGTTGGGCCTGACCTCACTCTAGATTACATGTAGAAAAGTCCCCAATTGGCTTAATTTCGGGCTCCTAAATCGAGACAACTCTAGGTATCAACAAGGAACTGTCTTTACATGGTTTAGACAGTTGCCTGGCAATACTACGACGCTTTATCCTATCATCACCGCCATCATCATTGCAATTCAGTATTGCCGTAGATTGAAAGCTGGTTAATGCCGGAGGTACAAAACAGAAGCGCCTGCCTTCAAGCATTTCCATGACCCTTCTGAATAATCACAGGGTGCTCAACTGCTCATAGTTAAGAATCCAAGTTCCAGGAGCCGCATGGTTACCTACAAGCAGTACCTACAACTGCTTTCATGTACCGACGCTCCACCTACAGCGAAGAGAGTTGCTGAAAACAGGGGAGCCTTAGGTACTCCAGGGTTCCGTGGGACTAGCAGAGTTGGGGCTCCCTCTTTGAGAGCTCTGTGGCGGTCATTTCCAAAAATCTCTTCCTGGTTGCACAGGACGCCGTAGACACGCTCTTGGCTCTGACCGTGGCGGCTGATCCTATGGAGGTCGATCTAGAAGTTCAGGGGTCAGTTACAAGATGTGGGATTTGGGTTTGAGGTTCCACGGTTTAGGATTTAGGGCTTCAAGTGTAGAGATTGAGAGAAGCAGTTGGAGTTTTTTTCAAAAGTCATGGTCAGGCTGGAGAACTAGCATCAGTTCACATCAAGCATCTATCAGATGTTAGGTCGATGTTGGTTCAGGAGGCTAGGGACCCACGATGACTATACATCTCATATTGGCCATAGGCTGGTTGGAAGACTCAAACACTTCTTTGCTGGTTTATTTCCGCTGAGGGCAGATGTCAGAGGCAAGAAGAAACATGTCATTCCCTAGGCCAAGCACTCCCTGCGCAGGGACCTTCAACAAAAGCGACCTGCCTACTGTCATCCCGAGGCGTAGAACACGCCAATGCCCACCAGAATGGCGTCCCCTCAACAGTGTAAGGGACCTTGTAGATGGGAAACGCAAGTGAGCCAGGTGCCGCTGCCCACGTTGCCACCACTGGAGGTTGGCATGGATGCTGCTGGGCTGAACTCGCCAAGCATGTCTGTGTTTGTGAAGGCATCAAGGGTTAGGTGAAGTTTGGGTGAAAGTGCAAGATTGGGGACTGGGACTTGCACCAACTTGTAGATTCAAGAGGGAAATGATGGCAGCTACGTTATAACAATGGACGCAATGGCAGCAGTGACGGCAACGGCAGCGGCAAACATGCCAGCAGCAGCGGCAGCAGCAGCAGAAGCAGCAGAGTTATTCAGAAGCCTGGGACAGCCACGCCAGTAGGTGGCCTGGCTTTCCTTCAAAGGTGGGTCTACTTTCGCAGTGTCAGCGAAGACTAGGAAGCCACAAATATGATTGCATCAGATCTTTATCCTGTTTCTACGGAGGTTGTAGGCCCTGAGCCCCAAACCCTGAGGCACTAAAGCCACAGCTGAAGCCAGCGCATCTCTGATTGTTCTGGAGATCGAGGATCATGACAAGTTCCCGGCGCTGACGGATGCAGAGGGCTGGCAGGCCCTCATTGTCATAGAGGTGTTGCAAGGGTTGAGAGGATGTCTCCCAAAGCCTCTGTGATTCTTGCAGTCCTCGGCCTTTACGCATTGCAGTTCTTCAAATGGCCAAGTTTTGAGATGTGGCATAGTGAAGCTGCAGTACTAAGTCTAGCCAGAAGTCGAAAGTGTTGCGATATCAGTAAGGGAGCATCTACAACAAACATCTGTTGGACCGGCAATGATGGGCCCATGTGGCAACAACAGTTTTCATATTAAGCATTGTAGGATTGGGAATAGAGAGTTTTCCAGGTTTGTATAGCCTAAACTATTTTGAGAGACTCCCTCCCGTCAAGTAGAAACAAGATTCTCTACAGTCTAGAATTCAAAGTGTCCCGTGATGACGGGATTTGTTGCGATGTTCTATTGGTTGCGATTCTTGCGCCGCGCTGGGGCCGCTTGGTCTTTCGGACTCAATGACCAATGGAATGTTGAGTCCTTTCTCGTACTTGATGTGGTCAGTTGGTACTGCTGAGAAACTCCAAGCACGCAGCTGGCACGGCCCTTCTATCGAGAGTGATGCTAGGGCAATCATAAGAGAAAGAATACGCTTTGCCCTGAGAATCATAGATATGACGCTGACACGAACACGGCCCCCAGCGCAGCTGGGAAGGTTGCGAACCAGAAGCTCTTTGATCGAGATCCGGAAGAGGCCCATGCCATGAAGTTAAACAAGTTGGTTTGCAGGACAACGCTTCCTAACCATGACTCGAGGCTAGTGCTTTCTTCCCCTAAGCTGCTGTAGGCTACAAATTTAGTTATTTGTCCATACTGGGCATCTTTGCGAATGCTCTGTGCTACTACCACGCCCTCTGTGTCTTGGGTGCTCGTCCTTCCTATCAACAGCAGTTTCCAGCAACTATATTGAAACCGTTTATTTCATCCGCCAAGTATCTGCTGGAACTGTGGTGCGGGGTCCACTCAGGCGTGATCGAAAAGCAACAACAACAACAACAACAACAACGCCCAACACGAGCACACGAGGGCATTGCGTTTGCAAGCAATGATCACTAGGCGATGTGGCTTCATAGGTGCCAGTGGTCTTCCTCTGGAGTCCAATCAAGGGCGTCAAATGTTGGCACGAAATCATAGGATGACCTTGACACCAGGGGCCTCTCAGCTTTCGGAACAAAAAATGCGGTTGGACGTTCTGGAACCACTTTGTTGGAGTCCCTACATTTTGAGCATCCCTTGAGAATAGCAAAAGCAAAGTCTCGTGAGGTTGAGCTTAGTCAATGGGGATAAAATTGCTGGTGCTTCCTAAGCTATGATCTAGGGTGATCAGTGTTGGCATTGTGATTAGAGTTTATTGCTGTTCTAGTCATCATGATGTTTGTGTAAATTCGCGGCCGAGCTAAAGATCCGGACCAATCGATTCCCTCTATCAATACTACATCCAATAATCAAGCAGGAATTGCGGCCCCGAGGACTTTTATATACTTCTGCGAAATTACGGGATGGCTTTTCTTCCAGGGTCAAGCTTCAATAGTTAGAGCTTAATTAGCGAGCTTGATTACAATAGGCCCAAGTAGTAGCGCCTGAGGATTCCGTGGTATAGAAAGGCTTGGAGTGCCGTGGAGGATTTGACTAAGAGTAGTCATTTACGGCCAATCTCGTGAGCATAACTGACAAATCCGGCTATGAATCTTTTACAGCACTTTACCATGTCTCATCTCATCACAGATCCCAGACGTGTCCTAAAGCTCCTCATACAGCAGGGGATGGCGTTCTGCACGCGTTCGCATCCCAAAAGCGGTCAAAACAACGAATTTGTCCATTGCGTTTTATCTTTGTGGGACCTTCCACAAGACCTTTCACTAATCCAGAAGTTCTTGCCGTGTTTTGCAGGACCTGGGCTCTGCTTGGCGAGATCGAGCAAAGGCTGACTCGTGTCGTACTATCACACGCTCCAAGGAAGTTTTCAAAACGAGGGGGCGGGGCTTTCTTGAGGGCTCGCCATTTTCCAGAAGCAAAAATGCAGATCCCTATCCCACTCCCTCCTACATGCGGCTGCTTTGGGCATACAAACGGACTGGGCCGTTGGAGGGTTGGTGCAGCGCATCGACGGGGTTACTGTTGTTCTCAAACCTATGGCATCACCATCGCTTGTCGCAGGCTTTGACCTTCGTCAGATTCCCCAGGGCTTGACCTTCATCATGTGTAGGTTCTTAAGTTTCTGCACGCTTTAGGTCTCGAGGCAGGCGTGACGCAAAACGAGGGGGAGGTGGGCCTAGGGAAGCCAAGCAAGACATAGCTAGGGACTACGGGGGATTTGGGGTCCTTATGAAGTATTCTTTCAGTTTAGTATACAATACCATGCTGAGAGCTTAAAGCGTGCATGGAATGGGGGTCTGTGGCGAAGCCTGCAATGTGGAGCGGGGAACGAGCAAAATGCTACGAAGCGGCCCTTTGACTGAAAGCGTTTCTGGCCGCCAGCAACACGCAAGGAGTTTGAAGCGGCTAAGAAGCTTCAAGAAGGCTCCTCGACTGGAAATGTGCTCATTCACAAACACAACCCCTTGCAGGCACATTTCTTTAAATGGCGTAGAACGCGACGAGCCTTGAGCATTGAAAAAGCTCTGACACGGGCCTTCCACGACAAAGGTCCCGAAGTCAGACAAACATGGGGATTGGGTTGCCTGACCGCGAAATGAGACTGAGCAGTGACTTGTGCTAGTTTGTCCGTGTGGGCTTTCGTTTGGTTTGCTTTGAGTCAGCCATGTCTCCACATTAATGATATTAATGCATCCAGCTGACCAGGTAGTACAAACTGGCAGTGCCCCCCCCATCCCAGGCTTAGGAAGTTTGGGAAGCAACCCCACGAGCCCATCTACAGCTAGTAAACCTACCCTACACCTAAGCCCCAACTCATTTGAGTTCATGAGCTTGCGTCAGGCTGCGCAGCACATGCCCGCCCCCAAGGTGGGCCTCCAGGTTTGGGATTTCGGCTTTCAGTCTTTCAAGTTTGCAAGCCGCATCAGTGGAAGCTGGGGCCGGGCTATTGACGACATTCATGAATGTGGTCGTCTCCTCGCTGCAGCAGGAGAACAAGGATGAACGAACAGGATGGTTTCATGGGAGCGTTTGCGAGTCTCCTGCCTTAGGTAAGGACCTCTTGTGGCTCGCAAAACACCACCCAGAGCTACAGCCGTGAACATAAAGCTAAACCTGAAACTTGAACCATCGCCACTCGCGCAATGCCTGAATGGGTAGTTGTCAAACTTATGGTCTTTTCTGTATGTAGTCCTCATATCTATTAATAATCGTTGTTACTGAGTTAGAATTCTCATCAGTAATTATGATGGTATTCGATGGTTTGAGCAATCATCCTCTCCTGGGCTCTTCTAATGGGCAAATCGTACGGACGTCACCGGGCCTCAGTTTAAATCGTTGTTTACACATAATTCAAGGTCGTTCCACATTGGCTTCATTTCAGGTTCGGACATTATTACAAAAAAGGCCAGCTTCCAGCGCCACTCTCGGCCCTACATTCTCAGCACGCCTCGGCATTGGAAGTGCGGGATGTTTTTTTGGGGATGCTATGTTTGCTATATACCCATATTATGGCAACACTAAACACTAAACCTATACAACCTATGTACCCATATACTACGGTGACTTAAATCAAGTTCCTTCAGAATCCTAAACCATATATACCCATATATACCCTACACACCCATACTGTGGTAACTTAAGCCAAGTTCAAAAACCCTCAGCCCAATATACCTTATATGAACCCTGTATACCCTATATACCTTATGTTACTGTAACCTAAGGTTAAGTTCCTTAACAACAACCAGTTTGTCCAGGCCGCAGTGGCATCTGCCAAGCCACGCTCGGGCCCTGCAAAGGCCAAGAAGGAGGCGCTGAAAGTCTTTATTGTTTAGGGTTGTAGGGTTTAGGGTTTAAGGTTTAGGATTAATATTGTAGGGTCTGGCGTTTTTGATTGATTGTTACTATTCTTGGTAGCTTTATTGTTATACTTATTTCTGTGAATATTCGTATTATGAATAATTGCTTCCTCATATTAATAAACCCACCCCTAATAATCAATAATAAATCCGGGACCCTAAAA